TTTTTTTTTTTTTTTTTTTTTTACTCCAGGGCAATTAGATTCCCTAAATGTGTATGTGGCTACACCTGTCCCTTGCTAGCAGTGTTCATTTGGGCTGTGTTGGTGGGAATTAGAGAGGCCTCTGGTCAGACAGATGTAGAAGACCTGAGCTGCTGTCTAACTGTAGTTCTCTCTTGGTTTTAGTTCCTGATTCATTGCGAGGGCACAAGGTTCACAGAACAGAAGCACCAGATTAGCATGCAGGTAGCCGAAGCCAAAGGCCTGCCCAAGCTCAAGTATCACTTGCTGCCACGAACGAAAGGATTTGCTGTCACTGTGCAGTGTTTGAGAAATGTAGGTAAGGAAAGTCACAAGGAACAATGCTAAATGGTTATTTAATCTCACTGCTGTCACTTTGCCATGCTTTTCTTTTTCCTGTAGCATGTGTCCTAGCAGAAAAGCCCTGGGATCTTTTCTGATCTTTCTTCCACTAGCCTGCAAAAATTAAAGTTTAGGTTTTACTAACAAAGTCCTGGGGCAACTTGTTTTGTTTTTGTTTTGTTTTGTTTTGTTGTGTTTTCTGTTACTGTGAGTCAATATGTCAGGTTGCATGTTTAGTACCTATTGCCAAAGGATAATATTTCTTAGTGTTTACTAAGCAATCCTATTCTAAATGAAGCAAATACATTATTAGAGAACCTGAGGCAGTGTGTCTTAAGTATTTTTTTGTGGTAAATATGTGCCTCAAATAACAGCATTTTTAAATCAAAAAATATTCTGCTTTAAATTTCTGTATAGATGTACTCTTTAGGGTTTCTTTGTGGAGTTGGAGAAGGGGGATAGACCACGACTGAAGATACCTATAGGCAAAATTTAGAAATAACTTATTTCTACATTACAGAAAATAAATAAGTTTTTCTTTGTTAATGTTGTTCTGAACTCCCCACCCCCCCAGTTATTTCTCATTACTTGCATTTGCCAACTTTAAAGTGACACCAGTAAGAATATGGCACACATGCCTTTGAAGTGATTTTCTTTGACTAACACAATCCATCAGAGTCTTCTGCTGTGTACTTCATGAGCAAAGGAAAGACGGTGCTAAGTCGCCATAATGCTACAGTGTCTTTGGGGTTTGGTATACTTGTGTGTCGTTATAAGGCTGATATGTAAGAAAGGCAAAGTGGTTAGTGGTTTAGAAGAAAATGTTCTAGTTTGCTGGAAGTTAATGTCAAAACTCCTTTTGTCTTTGAAGACATGTTTTCATGGGGCATATCTGGGATAGCTGCTGTAAAAAAAGCTTTGCAGTCAGCTGTCTTGCTCTCTGTCATGTTTCTTCTACCTCTTGCAAGTCAGGTAGATGATATCGCTGTTGTAGCTTGTCAGGCATCCACAACTTCCCACCCCCAAAATGGATAGCATAGCTTGGATCTTTTCTGGTATGTGAAGAAGAGGTAAGTTATGTGCAGCATCCAGTAACTCCCTTAAGGGAGTTTAACCTTCCCTTTTGAATAAGCGCAACTGTTTTGCTGGGGGCGGGGAGAGGTAGGCTTGAGGCATTGAAGAAGAGCTGAGTCAAAACTCTGTGACCTCCAATGCCCTGAGCTGGGAATCAGGGACAGGTTATTTTGGTGGTGATTTTGCTCTTTTCACTACTCTGTGTAAAGCAAGCAAAACATGGTATGATTGTGGACAAGTAGCTGATTTGTGGGAAAATGTTTCAAGAGGAAACCATTTTAGGGAACCCAAGTGACATTTATAAAAAGTTTTGGGCATTCATGCGATACACTACAGTAACACTTCTTAGGATCCTAAATATTTGAAATACCTTCAGAAAAAGAAGACTGAGATTGCTAGATTACTTACATAGTTAGGGAAGTGTATGTCATTACCTCAATCCCGAAGCTGTGGCTTGCTAGATCAAATGGGGTAAGGCTAATAAGAAGATAATATTTCCCTGTGAGGGTTCAAAGAGAAGCACAGGGAGTCATAACTTCTCATAGTAGTTTTTGTTGAAACTGTATAGCTTGAAAACACAACCAACAAACTTCTGAGGGAAACAGGTGATGACCCCGTGTCGGTGTTGGAAATTCTTCTGGTATGTTGCTTTACTTGCCTTGTCGCTTTTTGCAGTGAGAGGGAGATAATAAGAGTTACTGTCTGGGTTACTATATGTTTCTCTCCTATATAGACAAGGGGTACACGTGAAGAACATTTGAAAGGCCTTTGTAAACGATATCTTATTTTTAGAGCTCCTTGTAACATTAATATGTACAGGTAACAAGGAATCCATAAATGTGTTTTGAATAGAGAACGTGATGGAAGTCTGTTTTGACAGTCAGTAATCTAGAAATGTAAGTTCTATCTATTATTATTTTTTTGCTTGAATACTGATAGGATTTGACCACTTATCTCTGTTAACCTGCACTGACATTTGGTACCCACGTTATAAGCAGTAACATGTTGTCGTAGGTGTCAATATATGCAGAGACTATATGCTGTAGTAATTTGGGCATTTTTTTTCTTTTGAATATTTACATTGGTAAATAGTACTATTTGACTTGTTTACTGTAAATCCCCTGAGTCTCATTGTTATGCTCTGCCTTATAACGTGGCCCAGCAAGTGACTCTATTACAGCCTCAAATTACTTGTTCCAAACTTGTTCAGCATCAGTGTGAGTGCTGAATTGCTGCTCTGTCTGCAGAAGAAGCAATGGCAACATGCAGATGTTCATAACTTCAGTTCAGTGACATCTCTAATGATCTACAAGAATGACTCTTGCAGGCTGACCTGTCTCTCTTGCGGTACGATTCACATCCATTTCAGTGGCCAAGTCTGCAGTGGGGTATCCCTGCACGTCTCTGAAATTGAGAGACTGGTGCTGAGCTGCCTGAGCCCGTTTTGGGGCCTGCCACTTAGCCTAATGCACCTCCTGCTCTTCCACAAGGGGTGGTGGGCCTGGCTGGAGTGCCTTGCTAAGGGAGATAGTTGCAGCATGACATAGCAGTGAAGGCAAGCCAAATGTTTGGATCCAGTTCCAAGCTGGGTGTAACAGAGGTCGGCGTTTCCTTTTCCTGTATGCTTTGTTCCTCCTTTCTGACAAGGGTGTGATTCAACCTGTCTGAGGCTGTAGTACTACAGGATGGATGGATGCTGATTTCTGTGGCTGTAGAGGTAATTCACCCACAATAGCAGTGACCGCACATTGCTCCATCTCAAAACTTTGTATCCACTCTTAATGCTACCTGGTGCAGTAGTTCTGTGTCTGTTGGAAACAGGCATTGGTGACATCAGTCTGGCAAGTCCATCTGTTTTGAAAAACTTAGCTTCGGAAGGGGTTTATTTAATGTGCGTACCTGGGAAACTGCCTCCATGCCAGTGGTGCCATATCTGTCAGCATAAGCAGATATATTTGGATAAAAATATCTTTCACGCAAAATAACACGTAAAGAACTTTCCCACCTAACTCATTTCTTTCATAAGTGATAATGGAATTCTTTTTTCTTCAGAGACTTACTTTCACAAATTCAGATCTCTGCACACAGTTTGATTCTTAAAGGAGTGCTTTTAATATTTTTTGAAATTGTTCTGATATTTTTTGTCTCTACCAGTTTGGCAGTCCCCAGGAACTTCATTTCTAGAAGCTGTTCGCTGTCTTAATAAATTGCTGTTAGGTTGTAGAGTTTGCTACCTGTACTATTCATGGAAGCAAATGAAAATACAGATCTGTTTCTAAAACACTCATCCATTACTTACAGTAAAAATAAATGTCATAAATATTGCAAAAGATATATTTAACTGTTACTTTTATTGCCGGTTGTATATCAGGCAGTTCCTTTCAGCTGTTTTTATTTAGTTAAGACTTGTATTTAAAAATGAGCCTCATGATGGATTGTAGATAACTCCAAGTTGTCAACCTTTTCCTCCAATTGTGTGTGCTGGGAACTACTGTCCTAGAGGGAACGCATGAGAATAAATTCCAGGGTGATGTTCTCATGGACTTCAATATGACAGTTGTGGGGGTTTTGCAATGACTTTTTTTCCCATGAGCTGCACTTTAGTCCTGGATTTTTTTTTCAATGTTTAGTGAGGCTCCTGGTCATCCTCCTGAGCAAGCTACCATGTTTGAGAGGATGAGTGATTTTTGACCAAGATTACCGGAGCAATGAAATGTTAAATCAAAGGGTTGTGTCAAGGTGGCTGTCATACCAGTAGTACAGTGAATCCACCATCTCTTCCCCTCCCTTTCCCAGTCCTCACTTCAGATCATTGTGTGCTAGTTTGAAGCTGTATGTAGGCATACTCATTGCCTGTAGGTTGATTTGTTGGGTGATCATTCTGGCATAATCCACCCTGTCCACAAAATAATTCATGAAATTCAAGAGGACAGTTGAAGTAAGAAAAAGCCTCTCTAGATATGTAATCCAAAGATTTCTTAGGATGAAATTAAGAAATTAAATCTTAAATTCTTAAATACGTAGCTCTCTGTCAGAATGCTGTAGAAGGAACCAAAAATTAAAGATATTAAAAAAAGGTGGGCAGAGATTAGAAAACAAAACAAAAAACTAGCCTTTTTTTGTTAGAAAATAGCAATTCAGCTTGAAAAATTTTGTTTTCAGTTATGATCTGTTCTGAGCCTTTGAAAAGGCTTCCAAATATTGAATTGTGTTTATTTTTGTATGAAAAAGATGTTTTAAGATAACTTCTTTGAGAAAATATTTTATTTCACAATTGAAGCAAAACTTCTCAAACACCGCCTAAATTAGTCTGAGAGTGAGACAGTTGCAATGTTTTCAAGATACTGTGGAGTTATTTTTTCACTTGGTTTAGAACGTGAAATTTCTGGACTTCAGCTTTTGGATGAGAAAGTCATGAGATGTCCAGTTCCAATTATGTAATTACGAAATACACATTTAATGAAAAACAATTCCAGTGTGTCACGCAGCATGCTAGTGCTGCTTTGGCTGTGGAACCTTTCTGGCAAATTTTAATTCCATGCGGTCTTTTTCTTTGACACTTCTGCTGTTGTTCTTTTCCTGCACTTTCAAAATGGAAAAGCTTAAGTCTTCAGTTATTTTATTATTATAGCTGGATATAACAGAGGTCTGTTTACTCCTGCATATGCTATCATTGTCTTGGATTTGGCACTGCTTCGCACCAAAAGATTTCAGTGTGATATTAAAAAGGGCTGGACTGAATATCAAACTACAGACCAGTTACAAATTGGAATGGGATATTTTTTTCCCTGGAGTGTATCGCCATCAGCACATAAAGATGTTCTTGACCAACTCTGCAGAAGTTTTTTCAGAACAGGAGAAGCATCTTCCAATGTGTCTGAACAAGCACCCAATTCGTATCAAAACTCAAATGCAGATGTCTTCTAAAAGACGAAAGAACAAGTGCTGCATACATCATACTTTCCGTTATCGTGTTCCTGTTGTCGTTAGAATAATCTCATGCTATTACAGAATAAACTAAGAAGCTTACCCTGTATAAATCAAATTGAGCTCTTGTCTTCCTTCAATTATATTGGATCGGTAAATTAGAGTAGATTAGTAAAATCCTTCTACACTAAGAAGCTTAAAAACAGAGGTAGATAATTTATTCAAAAAAAGTAATTTCGTACTTATATTGTACAGGGAGAGTGGTGTGCTTGAAGTAGAATTTGGCTTATGTGTTGTAGTTTTGAGTTTGGGCTAAAAACCCAACTGTAGTAGGAAAAGAACAGAGTTGTTAATGAGCGTTACAGTCTGTATGCAGTGACAGGGTTTTGGCCTCTGTTTTCAGGATTTCCTTGCAGCGCTGTTCTGTTATGCGCTATGAATTCTGTTTTGCAATAACAAATGTTGTGGTGAATTTCTGGGGGCTAAATGTTGTGGCCAAGCCATATTTATCTCTCGTAGCTAGAGAGGCTTCAAAACCAAAAGCAAATCTGTTCTGTGAAATAAAAGGCTTTCTTAGGTGGGTCAATACCTCTCACAATAAAGGTTCATCACAGTGTTCATTATTGCAAAACTCTAGAGCAGAAAACATAAAATACAGTAAGCTACACATGAAGTGCATGTTAGTCACTTTTGTGTATTAAAAAAAAAAAAAAAGTTTTGTTGCTGGCATTGATCTTGGAATTCATACCACGATGCACAATTGGTTTCAGTGTCAGGAAAATTAATTACTCTGGTAATTTTGTGACATCAGGAAAATAGTGTCCCTAAGGATGTGTTCAAAGAAACTCTTTTGAAACACTTTATGTGGTTTAAAACAGTGAACAATTTTTCTGTAGAAACTGCATGTTAATGTTGTCTTAGTTTAACTATGAATGACTTTCGCAAATACTTTTACTATTACTGTGCAGTCCTGAACTGCAGAAACGCTGTTTTCTTGAGGCTGAAAGTTTGGTTGCAGCTTTGTTCTGTGGAACTTGGATGTTATATTCCTCACAGCTGCATGTCTTCGTAGCAGCAGCAGCCCAGCCCACTCAGGACGTGGTCTGTTATTCTGTCTCTGCCTTTGCCCTGTAGCAAGTGCCTCAGTTATCAAATAATGGACATGAAGGGGAGGCTGTATTGAACCCCAGTGATTCATGGTTGCATTAAGCCCTCTTGCTGTAGGATGTGTCTCACACACACTTTACCTATTCTTAGTCAAACTGTATATATTGTTCATTGTTTATAAAGTGTGTATCTGCCTGCTTATTTACTCAGATTTGGGGGGGAGTTGTGTCATTCACAGTGAGTTGAGAAAGCTAATAGTTTTTCAACCATTTGACTCCTAGGATGTCCTAGGCATATTAACTGTCAGAAACCGTAACTGTGTTCCCTATGCCCAGCACTCTGCACCTGATGGGGAAGGAGACAAGGGTGGAGAGCAAACCCTTGCATTCTACTGGTACAGTTCCTGAAAGGGTCGCTGGTTATTTGGCTTCTTAAAACCTGCATGTTGAATATTCCATTGTTATCTTTACGTTGGTGACAGCTCAAGCTATGGAGCTATTGCTGATAACTTCATTTTTAAATATGTTCCTTGTCTGAGAGAGAATGATTTATTTCCATTCTATTACTACAGTAATCACATAACCTGTTTATCTTCTTGTAGTTTCTGCAATCTATGATTCTACCCTCAATTTTAGAAACAATGAGAATCCAACATTGCTGGGAGTTCTAAATGGAAAGAAATATCATGCAGATTTGTATGTAAGGCAAGTACATTTTAATTCCTTTTTGTCATAGAAAATGTAAAATTATTAAGTATTGCTATTAGCATACGTAAATGAAGATGACAAGGGGATTTTTTTCCTGTCACAGAATTACTGACCAAAATTCATGTAATGTGATGAAAACTTTGTTTTGTCAGGAGAGGGTTTTTCAGTGATAGGAGCCATTTTGCTGGAAATTATCCAACCAAGCTGCACGTAACAAAAATTAGAGGAATTGGTAATGTTACCTGAGAAATACTAGAGTGCTTTACCCTAGGTCTAAGGAGAATAGTTTGGTTTTTCTCTCTAATGATTAAATACAGCCTTGAACTCTATAGGTGGGATAAGAAATTATATTCGTTCAAAACCTTTGTTTGGAAGCAGAAAATTGCAGAAAAATTCCTAGAAGGTGGCTCTAGTGAGCTTAAACATAATGCATTACTATTTCAGAAATCTAAATTTCTGAATTTCAGATACGTCTAAGAACTAAAGGTGGCTCTAGAAGCAAACTATACTTTTCTTATCTGGGAGCTGTTTCCACACATTAAAAAAAGGTGGTAAATGTAGTGAGTCTCCTGTCAGATGGATAGTCTGTCTGTATAATGTAAGTGCTGTTCATGGAAGCCAAAGTATTTAATATTCTTCAATTTGTCTTGTTTACCATTGGCAGGAGGATTCCGCTAGAGGAAGTCCCAGAAGATGAGCAGGA